ATATATTTGTTAAAGAAGGTAAGATCAAAAATATGCTCTGAACTTAGAGCAGAAGTTGGTGTGATTATGGTGATTCTTAGTTTGTGCTGGGTCTTAGTTCATGAAGTTTATTTGGAGTTCATTCCACAGTCTTGGCAGGCTCTGAAGAAACCTGTATCGTATCCTTGAGCCTGCACTACATCTGTGTGTCCTGCTGTGGGTGAATGACTTCTGGCAGGGGTCCCTGCAGCATATAGGTGAAGGCAGCAGAAGGAGGAGAATCACAAAAAGAGAAGATATTTTTTTTCTCCCAGGCTGCCCTTCACTGCACAGTGTCTCAAATTTCATTCTGAAAGAGGATGGGAAAGGCAAACGAGTGTATCTTTTGTAGATCAAAAGTAATACATTTCCACTGGATTCTAATCTGCAAATAGTACAGTGAAACAAGCTAGGAAATATTCTCCCTCCCTAGGAAAACTTTTGTAAGGAAAGTGGTCTTTTGGTCAGTGGGTTGGTAGCGGGATGCTGGTGGCAGTGAATTAGCCACAGTAAATGTCTCCACATAACTGAGCCTAAAGTGAAGTAAGAGGAATTTCCCCTCTTCTCATTGCCTATCCTCTTTCATTACTAGCTCCTTTATGCTTCCACTCAGATTTAAGTGCAGCAGCTGTGGTTTTTTTGTTGTTTTGCTTTTTGAAGTGCACATCCAGTCTTTAATGTGGACGGTGGTGCTGAAAATCATGATTATGTTTATGTAAATGCCAGCTGCTTTTCCTCACAGGGTTTCTTGAAACTTGCAGACGGCATTGCTGCTTTAATAGCATATGTTGACTAATGAAGCTCACAACTGATATAATTTAATACATTGTTTTAGGGGGTCCCCCCCCTTAGAATTAGACATATTAAGCAAGAGGCAAACACTGAGCCTTGGTTTCAGCAGCTTAGGGAATGCCATTTTGCTAAAGGAGTAGTAGGAGCAAGAGGACCTGGATAGACAGAAGAATGAAACTCTTTCCTATGGGAGGTGTTGCATGATAGCTGCACACACAAGTAGCGTGGCTTGTCAACTGGTTGAAGAGAGGAATGCTCAGTATGGGAGAAGACAGGGGTATTCGGGGGAAGGAATGCATTGCTCTCTAAGAACTGGTTCTGTGTAGCACTGGATTATAGCATGATGTGATCTTTTTTGATCTTTTGAGCTGTTGATTTAAGGATTACGAGTCTGTAGAGGCAGAATCACAAAGTTTGAGGGATTGGTTAAAAAAACTCAGTTAATTTTGCTCTGATCACACGTTAGGAATTAGGATCTTTTATAGCTCAAAGCATTTTTATTGGTTTTTGTTAAAGAACCATGCGCTATGACAACAGCTGAAAAGCCAGAGCAAGCATTCATCTTTAAAGTGAATGGGATATGGAACTTGTGGGTGCCACCAGGCAATAGGAAGACTGCACTTTCTGGGAGACACTGTGGTATCTATTTACTACACTAAACATACTAACAATAAAAATACAATGAGGTATCCAAGTTTCAGACAAAAGAGTATTGTGTATGTTTCAGTGGATGCTGCGCCTATCCTTTAAATTAAATTACAGTATAACCTCATCAATCCGGATATCAAATATCTGGAATTCTTCAAAATCCAGAACTTTTTAAAACTACACTAGGTTGAGGAGTAGCAGTGGCCAGTCCCAGAGCAGCGGAAGGGGAAGCTTGCATGCGGCAGCTGCCACTGCCATCTACCACCTCACGCTGCCGCTCCTGGTGCGGCCGCTGCTCCAGATTCATGAGGTTATACTGTATTACTGAAAAAAGACAGAGCTGCTAGCAGCCTCCCCCTCCCTTCCATATACAGCCATCAAAAGCTGCGGAGCGCATGCAGCTAGGCTTATTTTATGTAAGCCTGTTTGCCTGTTCTTATTGGAGTAGTATATCAAGAACAAGAGTCCTTTTGCTTGCGACCTAAAGTTGACAAATGAAAAGGTGGCCTGCTATTTAACTGAAGAAACATTAACCAAGCAAGGTTGTTATTAGCATGCAGAAAGTAATTTGACTGCCTCTGGGAGGTTTTAATCAAGCCTTGTGTACTGATTGAGATGCACTGCTCAAAAGTGGGAAAACTGATTAACAAATAAAAAAAACTAGAATGTTTTTCATGCAAACATTCATCAGTGTATCTTATGTAATTACATAGCCAATAAATCAACATAGTGTGTAAGTGCTTCAGTCATGGTGTAAATATCTTAATGACTGGAACATCTTTACACATGAATAATTTATATCTATATGATTCATTTTTCATATCCCTACTTTACTTCTGTATGATAAACTAATCCTTCTCTGTCAGGGGATATGCACTTGATTATCACTTTCTGATTTCTCTTTCTTGTGCTTATTTTTCTCAGTTAGACACACTCCATTTCGTCTTTTCTGCTTTCTGTAATGTTGTTATCTTATTTATTCACCTTGTCTGCCTTAGTTTGCTTTCCCAATGCATCTTAACAGACATCTGGGAAATAATGCCAAGGCATAAGCTAATCTTGCCTTTAACAAGTAACTTTGCAAGCACTGGGGCTGTATCTTGAAAAACTGACTCAGTCTCATCAGATATTATTAACGTCTTGTTCTCTCCTCTGCTGCTGAGAGGGAACTATTCATTATGGAAAGAACTTGTTAGATGGCCCAGTGCTCAGTGAAAGTTCATCACTTGCAGCACTTTTTTTGGTGCAGCCTTTCACAACAATACTTCTTATGAAAATTGCTTGGTTCTGCACATAGTGTTATGAGATACTGATGCTCAAAAAGCATTTTTGTAGCTCCAAAAATCAGTGGGAAGAAAAGCAACAAAGAAAAAAATGTGCTATGAGCACAGGAGTGGGCCTAAACTCCAGTTCCACTTCTATGGGGAATGTTTTCTTTGACTTTCAGCTAATCACACAAAACAGAATTTTCAAAAGTATGCTTTTGGAAGCAAAATAGGACAGCTCTATGCCCTGGACAGGGGCATGGCAGCCACCAAGTGCAGTGGTGACTATTTTTGTACCCTGCCATCTCCCCAAAACCAGTGTCAGGGCTACTGCTCCACTTGTCTTCCTCGCTTCCCCTTTCCCCCATCCTTCCCTGATTATGCTACTGCATTTCAGTGCTTAAATTTTTGGGGAGTTCAACTTGGGGCCCTTTTGGTCTGGTTTGCAAAGAAGCTAAGTGTCCTTTATTTCCACTGATTTCAGTAGTGGCTTTGGATATTCAGCACCTGTACAAAATCCACTCCTCTCCCCCTCCCCCCTCCAAGACTCACCTGGGCAGCAGCTTGAGGCACCCAAAATTGGTGAGTGCATCTGAAAATTTTCTTCTTTCCCAGTTCTCTGTCTATGTTCAGAATAATACTGAAGCATTTCCCAGGGGCTTGTTGAGGAATAATTAGGTAATGCTAATTATCCACCTAGCACCTTTTACTTCTCTTTGCTTCCTCTCTTTTCTATATACCTTAAATCTCTGCATATTCTCCTTATAAGGCACACCACACCTGTGTGCGCACTAGTCTACAACCTTAATATTTTGGGTTCTATTTGTTATCCATGTTCATTTTACCCACTTTTGATACTTTGGTACAGTAGTACTGTACTCCATTTCACATTCTTCCTCTTCTCTGGCATAATTCCACCTTCCGTCATATTATGTGCATTGGAAATATGTTGTAAATTATTTAAAATTAAATAGAACATCCCATTGCCTCCTTTCCCACACCTATTTTAAAGCCCACATAATGAGCCCCTCATTTCAGTCCCAGTTACTTGTGTGAAAGGCAGTCATATCTAAAGGTTCACTTGCCTTCCCCTTGCTCTATGGGCCATGTTCCCTCCTGCACAGTGGAACTTCCATTGATTTTACTCTAGTTCTAGTTTTCTACTTTCTTCACTGACTTGATGTTGTGAGACCAAGGTTAAGACCATTCCCTCTGTCCTAGTTCCGAGTGTTCTTGTTATAGCCTTGAAATGCACCTTCACATAATCAAATTTCCTGCCACTTACCTCATTTGCTGATTCATAAATAATGATTGGCAGGAATTCCCTAGTAGTTTAGTTTTCACCCTATGGTCACATGCTTTGTTTTGATACTTAGAAAGCAGCCTATTTTCCCCCTTGTTCTGACTAACAAGCTTTTGTCTTGGGCTTAATTAGCAATTCAACACCAATAAGAATGAGTCACGAATAAGAACTCTTTGCCAATCTTTCTTTCTGCTTTGTTTAGTGCTTTCTGCCTGCTATTTGAGTTGAGTTACTGTCTTTGAAATGTGGGACAGTTCTTCCCCTATGTCATGTACAGGGTATTTATTATAGGTATACCCCAGCGTGGCTCCCTATGCATTTCTTTTCTTTGAATACATTAATCTTAGTATTTCTAGTTGTCACACTCCCTTTCTGTTCTCCCTTTTCTCCACAACTGTACTTTCTATCCTCTCTCCCTGCAAGGTCCCTGATAGTTCCTCTCTCTATCCGATTTTCCTTTACCGTCTTTATTTTGTTACTTCAGCTGCTGATTAAGGTCCTCCCCTTCACAAAAAATGGAACTAGCATTCACATTTATGCACTTTTAATCTATTCACTTCAGACAGATGTGCTATTCTCACTCAGATATAGGAGCATTTCACAATTTTCTCAGCGTTAGTCCTTCAGAACTAGCTAATCTGTGTCCCAGCTGAATTTTGACTTTGCATGCTCATTGAGCCATATTGCTAGTGCACCTCAGATGTGCACCTTGCATGTATGCCGCATTTTCAGCAATAGTTTTGCCCAGCATAAACTTCCAAACACCCACAACAACCAAATTTACACAGCTACACTTAATTTAATTCATTCCACATCCAAAACATAGGCATACCCACTGATTCCATAAAGCTACATATGGCTCCTTCTGGAAATCATTTGCTGTCTAAAGAAATAATAGCATCTGTGGAGATTTTATGTGGAAAGAATATGAATTGGTATAATACTGAAGCGGTTTTTTTGTCTAATTTTAACAGATTCAGTAGCAACAGCATCTGGACCATTGCTAGTTGAAGTTGCCAAAACTCCTGGCACTGCTCTTGGGGTTGCATTAACTACCTCGATGTGCTGCAACAAACAGGTCATTGTCATTGACAAAATCAAATCTGCAAGTATCGCAGACAGGTGAGTGCTACAGGACAGCCTGCATTACAGGTTCATGCATCCATGTTTATCTTTATTTTTGTTTTTTTATTTGTTTTGTTTTGATTGTTTGTTTTAAAAAAAAAAACTTTCCTTGATATTTTAGATAAGTTTGCCTAAGGAAGATGCTCTAAAGGCAATTAAAGCTTAAAATTAACCCATCTTGGCAGACAGTTGCCTGTTTTAGGGATTTCATGGCACCATTTACTTTTGCTCATTCCCACCTCCCTTAATTACAGAAAAACAACCCAACCCCAATGCACTATAGGTCATGCCGTAAATGAAATACTGTTCTCTGGCATGTCTCAGTCTGTTTGTATATGCTGTGACATGCAGAAAATGTAGAGGTTTGCTTGACTGTTTTAAATGTAATCCTCCAGCTGTGATTAACATTAAAAATAAATATCTTGCTGGAATTCTTAAAGTCAGTCCCACAGTGTGAAACAGCTGTCAAAGTAAGTAAATTTTGAGGCTTTGCAACCTTGAAGTGTTCTTTTAGGATGCATCATTCATTCTCATGGCACAGTGAAATGGAACTCCACATACCTGGATTTCTTTCCTATTAATATTTTAGAATACCACTGAGGTATTAGAAGGACTGGCTTCCTTATTATGAAGTAATTTTGCAGTATTAGATGGGGAAAATCACCTTTTCAGTTCCATTTGAAAAAAATCCACCATATGCAGATAAGGTTATATTTACATTGGAGAAAAAATTGTTAGCTGTTTTCCCCTAGAGGCTCTAGTCTCTATATGGGAGCTGTTGGATCTTTAAAAAAAAATCCCTAAGGACTATGTTTCAGCAGCAGATTTCTCCTGCATGTCTCCAGTCATCCTTCCTTGTAATTTCTCTCTAGCAATGGTGCTGTTGGTGGCACCCACTTGTAGCAGTGAGTCTACAGCTCCACTGTGGGCTTTACCCTACAGCAGACCGTTTGAGAGTGACGGCCATTGATCCAGGGGCGCTCTCCAGTTCAATGGTGCAGGATGCTTTAATTTTCTCCCTCTGTTTTTTTCCCATTCCACAGGGGGTAACCAATTAAAGGAGCTGTCCACTTGACTGGTACGTCGGGATGCTGACTGCTGTGTTTGCATTGCTCAACTCATCCAGTAGCCAGTCTCTTGAGTGCAGCAAGACTTAGCAGCTAGCCCCTAACCTCCCCGCCCCCTCACCCCACTCCTCGAGTCACCATGCTAGCCCTGGTTTCATTATTTGTTTGACTACTGCATAATTTCATCCTCATTTACAGCTTTTGTACTAATACATGTTTGAATATGAATAACTCAAAAAATGATGAACTGGGTGCTTGTGTGAGGAATATGAGCAAGTTAGCTAAATCTCCTTAAGCTCTTGTCATTTTATTCTGCTGCCATTCACACATATATTAATAGTCAGCTACCCCATTCCAGTTCTGTGAGTGATGTCTTGGCATATACTGCATTTACTGACTTGTATTTAAGATTTGTACTAATAGACTTAAAGTTTAAACAGTGAAAGTTCCTATGGATATAAGAATTCTTCTCTTAAAAAAAGCAAAAAACTCATAGTTGTCATGAGCAGTTTGAAGGCTGGAAAACTTATATTCCCAATAAGGAGCATACTTCATCATGCTGAGTTTTTCTCTATTTCCACAGATGTGGTGCATTGCATGTAGGAGACCATATTCTGTCCATCGATGGCACCAGCATGGAGTACTGTACATTAGCAGAAGCAACACAGTTCTTGGCTAATGCAACAGATAATGTCAAACTTGAGATTCTTCCTCACCATCAGACTCGACTGGCACTAAAAGGGCCAGAACACGGTAAGGGGATGTGTAGTCCTGGGTTCTGCCTCTAGTCTTACTTAATCCTTTTCACGTCATCTACCATTGCTGAGGTACCTAGAAAATGAATGTAAAACCAATTACTACATACTATTATTTTCCAGTTGCCCAGATTGTGTTCCTGAAAATTTCTTCTGCAAACTGCGTGCTGTGTTTTGTTTTGTTTTATTTTACCACAGATTACCCTCAAAGAGCCTTAAAGATGAGGGGTAAATACTTCTCATTTACAAACATAAAGAGATTTGGGGTTTATACTTTTGTAGGCAGATGAAAAAAAAAATCAAGCTAGGTATTTATAAATTTAGTGAATAAAAAAACCCTACCATTACCAGTTTTTGGCAGCATATTCACTTGGAAAGGTGTTCTGAATGAATGACTATAGATTCAGCTACTTTCTGTGAGCTCAGATAAGTTCTTGACACTTCTTTTCCAAGTACTCAAAAATGCACAAAAGGAAACAAAAATTGAATTTCCCTTATTGATAAACCAATCCTTACCTGCTATATTTCTCAAAGGTACTTATCAGGTTACTTCACTACTCATTTTAGATGCTTATCAACAGTAGTTTTTGTTCATGTACAGTTTCCTCAAAGTCTCTGCCATTTTCTAGTTTACTGCTTCTTCATATTACAAATGTTATGCCAGGGTTTAAGGAAAAGTCCTCCTTTTTCACGTCTAATGAAAATAAATTTCTGATCCCGAAAAAAAATGGAGAACATTTATTCATTACAAGGAGACCAAATTAAACACAAGAAGTTTCATACAAGGTAGCCAAACTCACTTCTTTGTCTTCTGCTGCCCCATAAATTTTAGTATAGCAGTAAAACAGTCTAGGATGGAATAGCTCAAATTATTAATGAATTTACCAAAGCCATATATTATACATTTTTTACAGAAGTCTCATAGACTCTAAGCTGTCTTTCTGCAATCCAAGCAAACTTAATTTATATTACTGGTAACGTTCAACCTCATAAGGAATTATTATACCTACCCACAGTACAACCAGAGAGAGAGGGAGAAATCAAAGGCTGCCAGATAACTTCTTGCTGGAAACAGCCTTTTTAATTAATTAGGGCTCATAGCAGCCTTAATATAAGGAAAATCCACTGCCCATATTATCCTTATCAGATGTTAATTTTTATGCCATGGTTAAAGCTCAGAAATCACACAGTCTGGGTAGAGCATCAAAAGAAGAATCAATTGAATTTGATTTGTGTTAAATTTGATGCATTAAAATATATTGCCTCACTCAGGTTGTTACGAGTGTTTCTGTGATTTTCTTGGTCACGTCATCCTCCTTGCTATATTTGTTTTTTTCATAAAGCACTTTGAGGTTACTTCTATTAGATGTAGATCAGTGAGCTGTTCAGGCATCAGGCTATTGTACTGTGAAGAGAAGCTAAATGGTTCTAGCCTGACTCTGGAACTGAATGTCCTAATTTCAGTACAAGTGAACCTCACATGGCTTCTACAATATTGTTGGAAAAACACGTTTAAATTTAATTTTCCAAGTCAAATATGTTCCTTTCCTTTTCCATTGCCTCATCTACCCTTTGAGTAATGGCACTTCCCACTATGTGGGCAACCCCTACTTAGACATAAAAGCTTTGATGTATTTAGCCAGTTATAAGATTAGCAATTCTGTAACAAAAAGTAGAGAAAAATTATAACTTTTTTTCTGTCCATAGCAGAGTTCATGTGCTGAATGTAACAGTGTTTGACAATACAGCCAAATCCTTACCCTGGTTGGTTAATACAACAGTGCAGCCAGCAGGAAATACAGGTTCCACCCTGCAGTATTCCATCTTGTTCAGAGTGTACAGGCCACTTTGTACAGAGTAGCTCATCTCTAGTCTAAAAATGAGGTATCTTTAATCTGCTCCACTGAGCTTTTGGCCTGTTGGCCAACACATCCTCCTTACATCCCCCTTCAATACAAATGTTGGCCACCCTGCCTCATTAAGATGCATCCCAGACTTGTGCTTATGAGAAGAACTCAAACATGGCCTAACTTTTATCTAGGAAGAAATAATTCCTCTGAGAATTTCACTGCACAACAATAAATAGTGACATTGGATTTTTGCTGTGATTTGATTATCAGACCCTAAGATAGGATTTTTCTGCTGATGGCTGAGAGAAGTAGTTTATTCCCCAGGACAATATAATGCCAGTGATGGATGCTGGCAAAATGAAAATGTCAAACCAATAAATTGAGATGACTGACGTGTAAATCACTTCATTGTGGGAACAGTGATTTATGGTCCCTTTTTTAATATATATGAGTACAAGTAATGCGGGTAGAGACTTGCAAAGCTTTAATTAGTGATCATATATATCTTGATAATGTTTTCTTAAGTATTTTTCTAAAAAAAGTTTTAATCAAAGCTGGTACGGTCAGAGGGAGATGAGAAAGACTATTCTATATATTTTTTTAAAGCCATTAGAAGTATTATTTCTGAGATGACAAAAAGTTTCCGTCCCTGACTGCCAGTGAAGGGACAAAGCCTGCTTGCTTGTTTGCTTATTTATTTATATGTTTATTTATTTATTTATCTTTCAAAGTGCTTTCATTTTTGTTGCTTTTTATTTATGCAATTCAGTTACCTCTCCCTCTTCTCTGGTCCTTTTTGTTTTCTGATTTCCTGTCATCCCTTCATGCGGGCAGTGAAGGTTCAAAGGAGCAACAGGCAACTTGCGTGGGATTCCTGTGCCAGCAACCACAGCAGCCTCCTCACCTATCACCATTATAACACCTACCACCCTGACCATTGCAGGATGCCAGCCTTGAAATGCCAGAAAACTCCTCCTCAAAAAGGCCTTCGTAATGTTCCACACTTTTTCCTCCTGACATTTTTCTTTCCTTCCTCCTCCTCCTCCTCCTTTTTTCCCTCCTCTCCCTCTCAAACTTTTTTCATTTCAGGCACTAAAATCTTTCAGTTTTATGGTGTCACTTTTTTCATAACATGCCCTGCCAAGGTCTTTCTGACATCTCAGGCCTCTTTTTTTTCTCTGCAATCAACAGCCTTTGTAGATGGAGAAAAGCTTTAACATTTCCAGGTACACAATTTGTCAGCAATATGACTAGGTCATTAGCTTTGAATACAAAGAATGGCCTGCAAAATTGATATCAGAAATCACCTAGCAAGAAGGCATGACTGGAGTCAATGTGTCCAGGCATATTGATTTACATTGCTTCATGGTTGTGTATCTAAAATACTTTTTTTATGTACTTTGCTTAAAGTAAGAGAGAAACTCTTTAATTTTATGCTTCTATCTATAGTGTGTCTGCTACTCTCTAGGTACTTTCATAGCTTACAGGGCATTGAAATTCTGGTTGTGATTTTATCTAGGGTCACTTACTAAGTTTGAAAGATGTTTTTTGTTACTAAATACACACAAATCATTTTTGTGTGCCATATACCTTGTCTGATTCATTAGTGAGTTACAGGCATGTACTACACTAGTCCCTGAGATAGAGTACGATGTGCCAAGTATTCCATTTCTTACAGCAGCTTTGGTGTCTTCATCCTTCTCTCCTACCTCCATGAGCGCATACAGCCTGAGTTCCCTGAACATGGGGACCCTACCTCGCAGCCTCTACTCCACCAGCCCACGCGGAACAATGATGAGGCGGAGAATGAAAAAAAAGGACTTCAAAAGCTCGTGTAGGTGATAACAGCATGTATTTGAAATGTGTGAGAAATAGGGGTTGGGGAAACAAAATCAGAGCCCAGGCATAAAGTAACTATAGTAAAGAGAAGTAGTCAGAGAAGGACCATTATTAAGGTTTCTGTGTTAGACCTGGGAAACAGGAGACAACAGTGTACGTAGTGTTGTTGAATACCCAAGAGTAGCATGAGTTGAATACATCTAGCTTGAATAACCACTGTATAGGTGTATATATACCATGTATAGATTGCTATATTAATAATGGATATATTGTTACCTATATATACTATGTAATAATATAATTATATATATAATTTCCCTTGGGAATAGAATTCATAGTTAAACATTCAAATATAGACTCTTGGCAGATTCAGCTTTCCATTGTTGTTACCCCAGCATCATAGCTATTCTAACTATAGAACATACATTTAAAGATATATGCATGTTTTGGTGGATGGTGGGAAGTAGAAGATAATAGTGAGGACTGTTTTATCAGATTGCAGTAATACAGTTCCAAAATTGAAGTTCTGACGAAGATAATTTTCTGTAAAAGTTACTTTAGAGTTAACAGCACCAAACTATCTTGGATGTTTGCATTGATTAAGTCATGCACCTATTTGATCTTCACAGCTACAGTTTTTATTATGGGTTTTATTTTATTTTTTTTTTATCAATGTCTGGTTCAGGAATGTATTTCTTTTCTTGAGGGGGAGAGAGAGATTGTGCAAAACCAGATTAGCCATTAGCTTGGAGATCACAGCTTTCACCAAAGATATGTGAGAGAGATTTAAGTCCCTGCTCTCCATGATTTGGAATGGAGACTTACACAAGGGTTTCCCATGTCCCAGGCAGGTGTCCAAACACCTGAACTATTACTTGTTCTGGGTGAAGGGTTCTCATTTTTTTTCTGCTGAGGTTGTTTCACTTTATATGGAATTTTAAGTATTCACCAGGGCAGAGAAAGAGACTATGTGACCTAGTGTTTAGGCCACTTACTTGTAATATGGGAGACTTTGGTTCAAGTGTTTTCCCTGAAATCTCCTGCAAGGATTTAGACCTGGGTCTCTGATACTGAGCTATTGAGTAGTCTGGGTGGGGTCGGGAACACACTCGATTTTTCGCTCTCATTTTTCATGACAGTCATTTAAGAAGGTCTTAATTTCATCCCATCAAAAGAAATGCCAAATGCTGAAATCATTATTTGTTTTGTAAAACAAAATTCCTTTTTTCCAGTTAGCCCAATAAATAGCTTTACACTTGGGTGAACCACAGAAAACCTACATGCACGTATCAGTAATAGCATGGGACTCCCTTGGAATGCAACTCAGTGCTTTTAAAATCAATAGATAACTCTTGATTCCAGGATTTTGCTTATTGCTATTCACAGAATTTTAAAAGGCATCATACGTGAACCCACTGGAATGACAATGACAAACAAAACTGAGGAGGGGAGGGCATGTTTCCAATAGGCAAGACACACACTGGCTAGGATTCTTTAATCTCTTCCCATCATGTCAGTTATTTGAACACAATTAGCTTTTTTTTTTCCTTTGATAAAAAGTATCTCAGGGATACAGGTCATAATAGAACAGCTCCCAAAATTCCTGTGTTTTAAAACTGTCAGGATAGAATTACCTGGATGCTCTTGCCATGGCTAAAATTTTAAAAAATAAGGTAGACAGGTAGATAATTCACCTTGTGCTTACACATCCCCCAAGTCCTCAAGTTAGTAAGTTTAATTATCTAATTTTTTTTCGTTTTTGAGTTTATAAGACTATCTAAAACCAAAAGAATTACAAGAATCATTATAAAAATGTAGACTCTGGAATAAATATGCAGAAAAGAAAATCATCCAACCTCATCAGAATAAAGTCTTTCCCAGGAGCTCACCTAGCTGACCCATCTACCCCCCCCCCCCCCCCCCCCCCCAC